CCTTCCTAGTGAAGCGACATATGTTTCCCGATGAGACCAATGCCCTCCGACTGTGCTAGAGGTGCCATTTGGGTCGGGCTGGGCACATGTGGACTCTGGTGTTTTGATTTGTGTGTTCTCTGGATGCTGAGGCAGGGATGGGTAGAAGTTTTGCTATGAGTTGGATGGAAATAGCATCCATTAGAAGCTGGAGATCAACGTGTTTCTGGAAGATCTATGAGTAGGCACTCACTTGTTATCCAGCCTTTATGAAGTGCCCTCTTTAGGACAGGATACTCTGTTGGGCTCAGCACAGACTGTGTGAATGCTGAGTGAAGCTCAGTGAAGTTAGGCATGGTGGGGGGGAGGGGGTGTTTTCATCTCAGGCCTTTTGTGTCTCTGGTTTGTAACTGCTGTCCTTGCCTAGGTCTGTCCAGAGCATCTTTTTTTGTAACTAATACACTTAAGTCATGGCTGGAGCAGCTATCTTGGTCTTATGGATCAATCAATCAACAGGCATTTCTTTTTTTATATGAATCAGATTTTTATTCAGAATCATATGGCATTAAGTTCTTTACTAATATAAGAATGATAAGCTTTTGCTTATCATTAATTAATTAAATGATTAAACAGTTTGGAAAACTTGAAAGGGTTACACAATTTCCAAAATGCATTTGTTTTTTTTTGGTGAGGCAATTGAGGTTAAGTTACTGCCCAGGGTCACACAGCTAGGAAGTGTTCCAAAATGCATTTCAATCCTATCTCCTTTAATTCTGGGATCAGTTTATCATCTATTCATGGTTCCTGTCCATGACATAGGTGTTGATGCAATACTCCAATGGGTTTCCCATCTAATTATGTGTCAATATATGTTTCTCATCCACTTTGTTTTTGTAGCGTGGATGGTAATGCCAATCTTATATGTATCATAGTGAATCTCTCTGAGAAGGACTTGTAGTGTTCTAGATTTTGATATAATTAAGAAATATATAACCTGAGAATAGGAATATCTTGAAAATCCCTCCATAAGTAGGAAATTCTTTTTCATTTTGAACTTTGCACAAGATATCCACCATGATACTACTTTTAGTTGTCAATTCTTTTCCATTTTGTGCCATATTTGGTGTTGATACTAAGTGGCTCATTAAATGAAATTACGTCTGTGGACACATCTGTCATAGAATCTTATATAATTTTAATTTAAGAATGGCAGTTGCCCTATTTCTTTTTTCTTATTAATTTATTTTGATTTATGAACAATCACTTCCATAAGCTTTTGAGTTTTAAATTTTTCTCCCCTCCCTTCCCACCTCCCTCCCCAAGATGGCATACAATCTGATATAGGCTATACACACATATATATATATATACATTCCTATTAAACATATTTTCACATTAGTCATGTTGTAAGGAAGAATTAGAACCAATAGGAGGAACCACCAGAAAGAAGAAACAAAACAAAACAGAAGAAAAAATAGCAAATAGTATGCTTTGCTCTGCATTCAAATGCTATAGTTCTTTGGATGTGGATAGCATTTTCCATCATGAGACTTTTGGAGTTGTCTTGGATCTTTGCATTGCTGAGAAGGGCTAAGTCTATCAATGTTACTCATCACACAACTTGGCTGTTACTGTGTACAAGGTTCTCCTGGTTCTGCTCATTTCACTCAGCATCAGTCCATACACGTCTTTCCAGATTTTTCTAAAGTCTGCCTGCTCATCATTTCTTATAGCACAATAGTATTCTATTACATTCATATACCACAACTTATTCAGCCATTCCTCAATTGATGGGCATTCTCTCAATTTCCAATTCTTTGTCACCACAACAAGAGCTGTTATAAATATTTTTGTACATATGGGTCCTTTTCCTGTTTGTATGATCTCTTTGGGATACAGGCCTCCTAGTGGCATTGCTGGGTCAAAGAGTATGCACATTTTTATAGCCCTTTGAGCATAGTTCCAAATTGCTCTCCAAAATGGTTGGATCAGTTCACAATTCCAGCAACAATGCATTAGTGTTCCCATTTTCCCACATCTTCTCCGACGTTTATCATTTTCCTGTTTTGTCATGTTGGCCAATCTGATAGGTGTGATGTGGTACCTCAGAGTTGTTTTGATTTGCATTTCTCTAATCAATAGTGATTTAGAGCATTTTTTCACATGACTATAGATGGCTTTAATTTCTTCATCTGAGAACTGTCTGTTCATATCCTTTGACCATTTATCAATTGGGGAATGACTTGTATTCTTATAAATTTGACTTAATTCTCTATATATTTTAGAAATGAGGCCTTATCAGAGAACTGGTTGTAAAAATTCTTTCCCATTTTCTCCTTCCTTCTAATCTTGGTTGCATTGGCTTTGTTTGGGCAAAAACTTTTTCAATTTAATGTAATCAAAATTATCCATTTTGCATTTCATAATGTTCTCTATCTCCTGTTTGGTCATGAATTCTTCTGCTCTCCATAGATCTGATAGGTAAACTATTCCTTGTTCTCCATTACTTATAGGTATCAGCCTTTATATCTAATCATGAACCCATTTTGACTTTATTTTGGTATATGGTGTGAGATTTGGTCTATGCCTAGTTTCTGCCATACTCTTTTCCAGTTTTCCCAGCAGTTTTTTTCAAAGAGTGGTTCTTATCCAGAAGCTGGGGTCTTTGGGTTTATCAAATAGTAGATTACTATAGTCACTGACTTTGTCTTGCATTCCTAATCTATTCCACTGATCCTCCACTCTATTTCTTAGCCAGTATCAAGTACTTTTGATGATTGCTACTTTATAATGCAATTTAAGATCTGGAACTAGGCCACCTTCCCCTGCATTTCTTTTCATTAGTTCCTTTGATATTCTGGCCTTTTGTTTTCCAAATGAATCTTGTTTTTTCTAACTCTATAAAATAATTTTTTGGTAGTTTGATTGGTATGGCACTGAATAAGTAAATTAGCTTAGGTAGATTGTCATTTTTATTATATTAGCTGGCCTACCCATGAGCAACTGATGTTTTTCCAATTATTTAGATCTGATTTATTTGTGTGAAAAGTGTTTTGTAATTGTGTTCATATAGTTCCTAGGTTTGTTTCAGTAGGTAGACTCCTAAATTTTTATAATGTCTACAGTAAGTTTAAATGGATTTCTCTTTCTATCTCTTGCTGTTGGGCTTTGTGGGTAATATACAGAAATGCTGATGATTTATGTGGGTTTATTTTATAGGCTGCAACTTTGCTAAAGTTGTTTATTATTTCAAGTAGTTTTTTACTTGATTCTCTAGGATTCTCTAAGTACATCATCATGTCATCTGCAAAGAGTGGTAGCTTTGTTTCTTCTTTGCCTATTCTAATGCCTTCAAGTTCTTTGTCTTCTCTTATTTCTAAAGCTAACGTTTCCAGTACGATATTGAATATAATGGTGATAATGGAAATCCTTATTTCACTCCCCATCTTATTGGAAATTCTTCTAGCTTGTCCCCATTACATATGATGCTTGCTGAAGGTTTTAGGTAGATGCTACTTACTCTTTTAAGGAAGACAGCATTTATTCCTGTGGTCTCTAGTGTTTTTAATAGGAATGGGTGTTGTATTTTGTCAAAAGCCTTTTCTGCATCTATTGAGATGATCATGTGGTTTCTGTTGGTTTTGATGTTGATATGCTCAATTATGCCGATATCAACAGGCATTTCTTAAGCAGGTACTGTGACAGAAGCTGGTGTACAGAGATGAAACCCAAATGGTCCCTGCCTCAAGGGGAGGTGATAAATCAGATTCCAAGCTCCTTGAAGGCAGGGCTTATCTCACCTAAATGTTGGGCTGAACTGTGCTTTTTACCCCTAGCACATGTTTAGAAAATATTTGTTGAGTGAATTCTGCTGCTGCTGTGTATGTGTGTGTGTGTGTGTGTGTGTGTGTTTCGGTGTCTAGCATGAAAGACATAGCCTTGAAGGTAATAGGAGGCACATAATAAATTCTATTGAACTGTCAAATGGAAACATACAGTATGTAGAATAGAGACAGAATTGGCCTTGGAGTCAGAAAGACCTGATGTAAGTTGTATATCTGACCCATCCTAGCTGGGTGACCCTGGGCAGGTCCCTTAAGCATTCAGGGCTCCAGGCAGAGTGGGTGCTGACCACTGATAGACGAAAAGTTTGGATTAAAGCATGTGTGGGCTGTCCCAAAAATTGCAGTGCAGTTTTAAACTTTTAGTAGCTAGAACATCCTGCATATGTTTATTTGTCCACGTGTCTATAAATATACATATACACGTGTTTATTTTACATATGTATATATGTGTGTATCTATGTCTATATAGAGAGAGAAGGAAGGAGAGGGAGAGGGAGAAAGAGAGGAGAGAAACTGACTGGGGGAAGGGGAGATGGAAAGACAGAGACAGAGATCGACAGAAGCAGACAAGAACATGCAGCATAAGAGCCTGAGGCAGGCCCGAAGAGCTATGCACAGCGGCCTAAAGGAAGGGCTATTACTTTCCCCAAAGGCGAGCTCTCAAGAAGGTGGTGACATTTAAGCTGGTCTTTAAAGGAAGGCTTGCTTGGGTTCCAAGAGTACATCTTGGGGATGGGAGCAGAAGTTTGGAGGGGATTCCATGAATGGGGAGACAAATCAGTCGAGGTCCAGAGAGAGGAGCGGCTCTGGACAGGTACAGGACATAGTGACCTGGTCCCTGAGAGCAGTGGTGTGGAAAGGTTCGGGGCGAGGTGGGGATTGGGACTGTTCCTGTGACGTTATTAGTGTAGGGAGCTCTCCTATGAGGACACGCCCTCCATCAGTTCAGGTTGGCACCTGTTCTCTAACTTAGTCTTAGAGTGATGCCTGGGACACTGAGAGATTAAGCCACCGACCAGTATGTTTCGGAGGTGAGACTCGAACCTAGGTGTCCTTGACCCCAAAGCTGGCTTTCTATTCTCTATGCCATGCTGTCTTTCAGAGACCTTGAATCCCAGACTAATAGGTTCACTCTGTTCCTTTTGTTTTTCAGAATTTCCATATTTGGAATTATTAGGTCTTTTTGAAAATGAAAGGAGGGGAAAGGAAAGCAAGGTAAGTGTTTCTGAGCCTTGGTGTGCCTTTATGTTTCTGACTGTTCTACATGCCTGTTTCAGTCTTCCTTGCAAACAGGTAATGAGTTCCCTCATTCATCTTCCTTCATCCATTCATCTGTCCTCCATATTATTCAGTACAACCATTTACAGTATGAAGAACCTCCTATGTGCACAACACTGCAGGCTATAGAAAGATGACCAAACAGTGCTCTGATCTTGGCCTGCAGCCGAGTAACATGGCCTGCTCTCATCAGAGATGTGATACAAATATGGAATGTCTGGGGAGATGGGGTCTGGGCTTTCACCTTGTCAGCTTCTCTACATGTGGAAGTGTCCGCAGTCCAGGCAGCAATTGGTCTGCAATTTATCCTCTTAGAGCTTTGCCTGGGGTACTAAGAGGTCAAGTGACTTAGCCACAATCACTTAGCTAATATGGGTCAGGCAGGACTTGGGCCAGGTCCTTCTGACTCTAAGGCCATCCCTGTATCCACTGTATCCATTGCCTCTCATGCAGTAACTATTACACAGAAAAAAATATGAGACAAGAAGGGTAAGAAATGGCACTTGGTGTCTGAGGAAGATTAATTCACAACTCATGAGCTCAGGGAAAGCTTCCTGGAGTGGGTGGCATTTGGGTTTTGAAGGGTGGGCAGTTGGGCAACAAGCTTTTATTAAGCACTTACTATGTGCCAGGCATTGGGCTAAGCCCTGGAGTTACAGATACAAGCAAAGTGAAAGATGGTTCCTGCCCTCAAGGAGCTTACATTCTAAAGGTAGAAGATAACACATGAAAGGTGGGGAAAGGAATATATATCTATATCTAATCTATATCTATTTCTATATCTATATCTATATCTAGTCTATATCTGTATCTGTATCTATATCTATATCTATATCTATATCTATATCTATATCTATATCTATATATCTGTATCTGTATCTGTATCTGTATCTGTATCTGTATCTGTATCTGTATCTGTATCTGTATCTGTATCTGTATCTGCATCTGTATCTGTATCTGTATCTATACCTATACCTATACCTATACCTATATCTACACCTACATCTACATCTATATCTGTATCTACATCTGTATCTGTATCTGCATCTGTATCTGTATCTGCATCTGTATCTGTATCTATATCTATACCTATACCTATACCTATACCTATATCTACATCTACATCTATATCTATCTGTATCTACATTTGTATCTGTATCTACATCTGTATCTGTATCTGCATCTGCATCTGTATCTGTATCTATACCTATACCTATACCTATACCTATACCTATACCTACATCTGTATCTGTATCTATATCTATGTCTATATCCATATCTATACCTACATCTGTATCTGTATCTATATCTATGTCTATATCCATATCTATATCTATATCTATATCTATATCTATATCTATATCTATATCTATATCTATATCTATATCTATATCTATATCTGTATCTGTATCTATATCTATGTTTGTCTATGTCTGTCTATGTCGATATCTATATCTATATCTGATCTATATCTATATCTAATCTATGTCTATATCTATCTCTATGTCTATATCTATATCTATGTTTTTCTATGTCTGTCTATATCTATATCTGATCTATATCTAATCTATATCTATATCTATATCTATATCTATATCTATATCTATATCTATATCTATATCTATATCTATATCTATATCTATATCTATATCTATATCTATATCTATATCTATATCTATATCTATCTATATCTATATCTACATCTACACCTACATCTACATCTACATCTACATCTATATCTATATCTATATCTATGACTCTAGAGAGTCAGATGTGTAACTGGGAGGATGACCAGCCTGAGCTCGCCCTCAAAATGGAGGCTCTGGGAGGAACGTGCCAATGAGAGAAAGGGACCAGCATGGTGGAAGGATATTCCAGGCTGAGAAGGCAAGGGTGGGCAAAATTTTAGCAGGCAGAGTTGGCAACGGATGACATGCCAAGTAGAAGGAATGTTGTATGAGTGCAAGAATAGGAAAATAAGAAACAATGGAAATTGAGAAATGGAACAGGGTTTTTTTGGTGGGGTCGGGGGAGATGAGTTCTATTTTGGATGTGAGTTGTAGATTTATTTTTATGTGTGGCTTGGATGAGAGGCCACTGAGGTTCTTCTAATGCTGCAGTTCTGTGATTCTTTGGGCAGGGAGGGATCCCTGGGTGAGAGGTGGTGTGGTAGGACAAGGGACTGAGGGAAGCCAGAGTGTGAGACAGTAAAGTTGGATTGGTCAGATTCTCTTGAAGATGATGAAGAAAGGAAAGAGGGATCAAAGCACAGAGGATGGGCTGGGAGAGCTGGGTGGGGGGAGGGATGGAGGACCCTAGGGATTGAGGAGAGGATGAAGAAGAGGTAAGGTAGGAATGCAGTGGAGGGAAAGAGAAGTTGCTTGAGAAGCTGATGAATTGGAAGGCCAGGGTGTGGCATTTGAGGGGGCAGGTGAGGTGAAGAGGGAGAGCCTGATAGGTGGGGGGGGCAGCCTATGCAGAGGTATGAAGATGGAAGAGGGAATGTTATAGAGTGTCCTCAATTTGGCCTGTCTTTGGAAATGTAGTGGGCACGGTGGTGGGTATTATGAACCCATCAATGGAGGGAGGAAGATGCGGTATCCCTACCCCATCTCCCTTGCAAAGTCACAGCTGACAACTTCTGGTTGTTTGGATGGGGGTAAAGGCAGCAGGAGCACCTGCCCCTCCCCTTCTTGCTAGCAGAGAAGTGTTCCTTAATGGGTCAGGAATTGAAAGGCTGGCCTCCCGAGAGGCATGCCCTCCTTATGCAGTACTGTGGAATCCAAGATGGGACCTGGTGCTGCCACTTCACGGGCCTTCAATGCCTTCCTGACAGATGGATTTTCTTTCTCTGGCAGAGTTTCCTGTGTGGACAGGCAATGCTTCACCTCTGAGGAGGTAGAGCTGAGAGGGAACATGTGACTCAGCTTGCGACCTGGTCTGAGCAGAAGGAGTGGGCAGGATTTCAGGAGCCTGACTTGACTGTGCCTCCTTCCCTTCTCCCCACTCCTACTCTCCCCAATCCGGTCCCCCCTTCCTCCCCTCCCCCTCTTCTCTTGTTCCTTCTGCTCCTCTTCCCCCTTCCCATACTCCCCCCCAATCTTATTCCCTCCTTCTGCCCCTCTTCCCCCTCCCCATACTCCCCCCAATCTTATTCCCTCCTTCCCCCTCCTGCCCCTCTTCCTCTTCTTCCCCTCCCCAATCTCATTCCTCCTTCTGCCCCTCTTCCCCCTCCCCATACTCCCCCCAATCTTATTCCCTCCTTCCCCCTCCTGCCCCTCTTCCTCTTCTTCCCCCTCCCCCAGTCTCATCACCTCCTTCTGCCCCTCTTCCCATTCTCCCCCAATCTCCTCTTCCCCTGCACCTTCTCCCCTTCCTCTTTCCCTTCCCTTCTCCCTCTAAGGGCACAAGAATCTGAACATTTTTCTCTGAATTTTCCTATTTCCTTTCCTGTCAGCCATCAGGGGAACAAGAATCTGGAGGCTGTGTTCCTGCCTTCCTTCCCTCTCCTATCACTGGTCAAGGCAAACTCTGGGCCTCCATCCCTCCTTGCTTCAATTTCTGTCTTGAATCTCCTCTGAGGGAGCCTTGGATCGGCTCTCAGTTTGTCTGCCTGTCTGTGTCTGTCTGTCTGTCTCCATCAGTCTGCTTGTCCCTTTTTCCTTCCTAGAAAGGTCCTCAGGAACATGTACCCTTTTGAGCCTTGGAGAAGCAATGCAGGGCCATCTTCATTATAGGAGTAACTGCAGGCCTTACATTCCTAGGGTTATAGCTAAGAATTGTTAAGCTAATCATTCCCTTGACAGTCCTTGTACACCAGATTGGTATGTTCACGACTGAGCTCCCCACAGTGTCACTGTGTCCAGGGGGGCTGTTTATAGAAGATGAAAAGGTTCCACTAGACCACCACAGAAGGGAAGGGGTTCTCAAATATGGGAGTCCGCAGTCTTGTCTATTCACTCTCCTTCTTCTTTTCTCCTTTCACTAGGCGTGATCTACTCACTCTCTAGTTACTGCCCTCAACTCTGCTTATACAGAGGATTTGTTTTGTGTATTCATGAAGGAGAATGATGGGATATGGGTCACATGATCACTACAGCATAATACCAGCCCCCACCCAAAAAAGCAATGACTATTGGCTGGCTGTCAACTCAGGGGAAATCCTAGATTCATCTTTCACTTCACTTTTGGAAATTCATTTAAAAAAAAGACCAATAAGATTCTCTTTCATATAGCTTAGGGGCCCCCAGCTGGGGAGAAGAGCTTCTCTCCACACCTGCCCCTGACAATTCAAACAGGGAATTTGTGTGCCTATTTGCTTCTGTCTTTCTGTCTGTCTGACTCTCTGCATAACATGCCTCATTGTCTCTTTATCTTTTTTACAACTCCCTATTCACAAATAATAAAACACACAAACCATAAGCAGTTATGATCAATCAAAACTTTATCTAAGCCTGCAGTCAAACTAATTAAACAGAAAATGTAAACAACTTTAAAGAGCAGGAAAACTTTGGAATCAACATCTGCCACCAGAGGAAGGGGGGTGAGTGGGGAAGAAGGAGAGATAGGTTTCACCTTCTTTTGTCAGTTATCTCTGGGGGGAAAGGCTCCAACAATCATTATGCTCCAGAGACAGCTTGGTGGTGGTCCTTGGGGCCGAGGCCCTGTCTGTGGCTCAAACATCAGCCCTGCTGGCTGCCTCTCCTCTCCCCTGCCTGTTCCAGTCACCCAGTCAAGCCCTAGTGCTATTCCTCTGCTGCATGTCCTCGCTGAGCCCCCCTCGCTGAGCCCCTGTCCTTTTTCTGATGCTCCTCCTCCAGAGCAAGGTGAGGAGGGGCGGGGCGGCAGAGCCAGACGCTGCTGCTCAGACTCTCTTTAGTCTGCCGGCCAAAGAATTTCATTTTATTCAGCAGGAACTTAACTTTTCCTCTGAGTGCATTCCTCCATGTCAGAGAATAGTGCTGGGCTGCATGAAAATCACCTCAGAGTTTATATTCTGATTGTTTCCATATCTCCTTCTAGAGGAAAGCTTATGAAGTCATTTTGTGGAGTCATTTTCACTGATATGTCGAGAAAGACCAAGGAAGACCGAAAAGATCTCAGGAGTTTTGGTGTCCCAACAGATGTGGGGGTGCCACAGACTCAGGAGTAGAAGCTGGGGGGTTCTCCCTTCTGTCCCCAGTCCCCAGCCTCACTAACAAAGGCTTAGAATGACAGGTAGGAGGCTGGGACATAGAACAAAGTGGGAGTGATAGAATACTTCTGGAAAGGAAGGTTGGACCTGAATTGTGGAAGGCTTTAAGTGCCAGGCTGAGGCCTCGAGTTTCCCTGCCTGGAGTTGGGGGGACCTGAATTCAAATTCTGCGCCAGATACTTACTAGGTGTTTGACCATGGGCAAGTCTCTTCACCTCTGACTTAGTTTCTCCAACTATAAAACAGAGGCACCTGCCTCCCAAGGAAGACAAATGAGGTCATATTTGTAAAGTGCTTAGCACATAGTAGGTGCTTAATAAATTCGTGTTTCCTTCCTTTTTTGCGTTTTAGCCTCATTTTTGAGCAGAGGAGCAATGTGGTCACACTTCCTTGGAAGATGGATTGGAGAGAGGAGGGACCGAAAAGAGGGGAAGCAATTGGAAACTGGAGATGAAATGCAGGTTTTGAGGAACAGCCTATAGGACAATTTGGTTATCAAACCCCATGGATAAAGAATGCCTATTGTTCAGATGAAGGTTTACATTTGGAAGGACAGTCCACAGAGCTGGTCCCTTAAGTGTATACGTGTGTGTGACACACCCACTTCCCTCCCCAATGGAAAACACACACATCTACATATATACATACATACATATACAAATGCTTTTTCCCACTCGTGTATTTATACATATAGCATTTATAAATTTTGTATAAATACATCAATGGGAAAAAGTCCTGATGTTTTTGTAACACTTTAAAATTCACACTTTACATGCCTTGTCTCATTTGAGCATCAGAACAACTCTGCTACATGGAATTGTCCCCATTTTTAAGTGGCAGAAGCTAATGCTCAAAGGATAACTTGCCCATGGTCCGTTATTTATCGTCTCTGTGATTTGTTCTTTGGCCCACTTGTTATTTAAGACAATGTTCTTTAGCCTCCATTAACTTCTGCAGCTTTAGCAGGTTAAGCCTTATTAGTTACAATTTTATTGCTTTGTGATTTGTAGAGGATGTATTTTAGTATTTTTGCCTTTCTGAATTTATAAGTTCTTTATGCTCTGCCATATAGTTGATTTTTGTAAATGTATGATGTGATTTGGGTGCTTCTTAACATTTCCATTCAGTAATTGGAAAACGATTATTATATTAAATTTTGGAACATTTTATTCAGATCCTTAGTTAATTTTTTTGCTTATCTTTCTATTAGAGTTGTCTAAATCTGAAAGAGATGTGTTGCTATCACCAACAATTAGTGTCTTATTACCTAGGTCTTTTTGCAATTCCATTTTTAAGTACTTAGCTGCAATGCCATTAGGTACATGCATATTTAATTTTGATAGTTTCATTTTATATGGTGAAGGCATCATATATATGACATAAGAGACATTATATTTAAGCACATTGTAATTTCCCTGTTCGTCTCTCTTGACCATATCCATTTTTACTATTGTCTTGACTGACATCATGACTGTCCTTCCCACTTATATAGATCCATCTTAAACATAATAAATTCTATCATCCTTCATTTTAATTGCATAGATTCTTTATGTTATGTGTGTTTCTTTTATATGCGCAGATTTGGGGTTTTGCTTTCTAATTCGGTTCTTTACCCTCTTCTATTTGTTGGACAAATCTGACTCATTAACATTGATGATTTTGATTTTTGTTTGTTTTTATTCTCCATCAAATTCTGTTATATTTCTTTCCATTTCCTTTTCACTTTCCCTTTCTGGAAGAAACCAGCATTAGCTATAACTGCAGTTTATTGTGCTTGGGACAATTTGATCCTGGTCTGCTTCCTTCATCCTACCTTCCCAGGACAGGCCCAAATCACTGGATCTTGTACTCAACTTTAACAGAAAAAATGGTCCCTAGCTGTATTTTGTATGGCTTGAGGCATCCCCTCTCTGAAGTCATCCACTGAGGCAGAGCCCTCTCTCCTTCCTCTTCTTAGTCCAGCTCAAATGAGAACATGGTTCAGTCCTCCTCCTTTCCTTCTCACCTCTACCTCCGTGTCTGAAGAAAAAAGAGCCCTTTTGTCCACCATCTTCCTTCACTTGGGCATTTCTTCTTGAAAACACAGAGAACTTGTCTTTCTTTTTCTTACCTCAGTGATGCTTGGACAATGTGGGACTCACAAAGGACAATATTCTCCTCTCTTCTTTCAATATTTAAGTGCCAAATCATCACCTCACCCTTTTACTTTCTCAAGTTTCTTTTGTATTCTGTTTGCATTCCAAGGATTCAGTTCTAACTTTCTCAAAAGGAATTCTTCGAACTTATTATTCTGATAAAAGACCATTCTTCCTTCTCCCTCCCTCCTCCTAATACAAAGTTTGCAGGATAAATTATGCTGTGGTGTAATCTATTTCCTTTGCTTTTTTGGTATATCATATTCCAGCCTTTTCTTCCATTTCTCATTGTTGGTGATTAGTTCTGGGTGATTATGACTAGAGTTCCTTGGTATATGAGCTGGCTTTTCCTGGTCACTTGTGATATTTTCTCTTTGACCTGAAAGCTCTGGAGCCTGACTACTAACTATTTGCATCAGTTAAATGTGGGGTTACTCTCTGTTGGCATCCTGTGGATCGTGCAAATTTGCCCATGACTTACTGGTTCCAACAATTTTGGGTAATTAAAAAATGACTTCTTGAATATTTTTATTGTTACTTTATCATGTTTTACAGGAAGGGCAATGATTTTTGTGCTTTCTCTTTGTGTTCTGTCTTCCAACTTAATTATCTTTGCTTGTAGAGATCTCTCATATTCTTCTGATTTTGCTATCTTTTGATACAATTAAAGATTGTTCTGTCATTGCATTTGGAGTGCCCTCAGCTCAGCTCTTTGTTTTAGGATGTCCACTGCTTTGTTATGATTTTCTGGCTTCTCTTCTAAACCATAAATCTTCCTTTTGAGTTTTTCATTAAAAGTTCTAATGTCACTCCTTATCTCTTTCTTCAGTTCTTTTTTAAATGGCTTTTAAAAAACCATTCTAGGAGTAAAATGATCATCTAATTATTTTTTCCCCTAAAGTTCTAGTTGAAGTTATTGCATAATTCTCTGTTTTTATGGAAATTTCTTCCTGAATTAAAAATATTTATTTTTATTCTGAACTTAACAAGTACCAAATAAAATGAAGATTTCCATATAGAAGTTAAAAAGAAAAGAAGAGGACTGTATCTGAAACTGTAAATCTCCATTCCATATAGTTTGCTTTTCCTTTTAAGCATGTAATAAATATAACATGTAATTTTCAAATTTTCAAAGCTGTCCTGTTTGTGTTTCCTTCTGGTCTTCCTTTTGTTTTTTGTATTTTAAAAAATGTTGCAGTGTCCTTTTCTTCCTTTTCTTTTCTTTAAAAACCCAACTGCTAGGCTTCTATACTTCAACTCCCTCCTTTTCCCAATTAAAAAAAAAAAGAAAAACAAAGCCCTTGTAACAAATATTCACAGCCATGCAAAATAAATTCCCACATTGGCTATATCTGAAAATATTGATCTCATTTTATCTTGATTGGTGAGAGGGGTAGGATAAGAGGTTATGGTTGGAAAGTGATATTTGGAAGTTCAGAATCCTGGAGGTGCCACCATTCCATGGTGACTGTGTAGGCCAATGGTGATGTAGTGTCATAAAGAAAGACCTTGGATTGGATTGGATTGGATTGGAGAAGACTAAAGAATCTCACAGCCAGGTTGTAGATAAGTCTTTTATACTGATGATGGTTGAAGATGGAGTAGAAAATGTCACTTCAGATAGATGTGACATTTTGGCAATTATTTTACTTTTTAATTAGCAATAATTTATTTTCTCTTTCTCACACTTCACCCTTCCACTGGGAAAAAAGAAAGAAAAGCAAAACCTTTGTGACAAATATGCATAGTCAAGCCAGACAAATTTCCACGTTGGCCACGGAAAGACATCTGGGTATTGCATCCTTCCGCTCTCCATCTGGAGGTAAGCAGACTGCCTCATCAGCAGAGCTCTGGTTGGTCAGAGTTCTTTAGTCTTTCATGTATATGAATGTAATGGAATACTATTGTGCCTTAAGAAATGACAAAAGGGACAATTCCAGAGAAACTTGGGATTTGGTTGTATGAACTGGTGTAGAGAGGAGAGGGCAGGACCAGGAGAACCATTTCTACAGTAACAAGACAGATAGGATTAAAATCAGGGAGAAAGTGGAGAGAGCAGCTTGGAGCTTGACAGGTAACAGCAGTGATGTGGAGTAGGTAACTTATAGGTGGAAGGAATCAAAGAAGATTTCCTGGAGCAGGGGGCTGGGAGGATGACTGTGGTGGAATGGCTGAGGCCTGCTGAGTGGGGCCCACATTCTAGGCAGAGCCATACCCATAAAGCTGGGGAGATGGGTCAGCTCAGGGTGGGGGATAGTGCGAAGGAAGGCCGTCAAGGTGCCTTCACATTTCCCTGTGGAGGGCCTCATTCTGTAGGCTCTGGAGGCCTCTGCACACCAGGAATTCCAGTCTGCCAGCAACTTGTGAGGCCTTGGGCCTAGCCGGCTTCTCTCCAGTCTGGGCTGCACAGTCCACTCTCGTGGAAGGGGACAGACGGTAGGTGGCAGCAGCAGCAGCAACATTTTTACCTCTCACCAAGTTTAAAGATGGAAAAACTCTCTGTGGGCGCTGTCCTTTGAGATCCCAGCACATGTCTGGGCTTGGTGAAAAGAGAAATAGTACCTTCTGTCAGGAGACTGAAGGAAGGAAGACTCTTTCTCCTTGTCCGATGGAAAATAGCCATCCTTGAGAAGGGTGAGGTAGGAGGAGCTGTCCAGCAGAAGGCCTGTGGGCAGGCTTTGATTCTGACTGACCTGGGTCTCAGCCCCTAGGAGATTCTTGGTAAGCCCCCGAGGGCAACCGGTTCTTTTTTTTTTTTTGTCTTGTATTCCCAGTGAATCTTAGTCAAGATTAACTGATTGATTCATGGAGCCTTTAATCTCACACCTAGAGGAGAGTCAGGATCCCTTCTGCAGCCCCCCTGTGGGCACCTGGCTTTCTCTTGCAGACTTGGGGTGATGGTGCACTCGCTGACTGCTAGTGCAGAGCACTCCATTCTAGGAAAGCGCTAATTACTGACCATCTGTCAGTCAACAAGCATTTATTAAGTGCTCACTGTGTGCCAGGCACTGGGCTGAGTGTTGAGGAGACAAAGAAAGGGAAAAACCCAGTCCCTGCTCTCAAGGAAGTTGCTGTCTAACAGGGCAGACAACAAGCCAAGAACCGCATGCTCGATCTGTATGGGACAGGAAGGGGGTGGGGAGGAAGGCAGACTTTGAGTTTAGTCTCGAAAGAAGCCAGGGAAGGCAGGAGATGGAGACGAGGAAGAGCAAGGGCTCTCCTGGCATGGGGGACAGATAAGTGCCAAGGCCTGGAGTCAGGAAAAGGGCCTGAAGGCTGGACTCACTCCATCATAGAATATATGGAGGGGAGTAAAATGTAAGGAGCCTGGAAAGGTAGGAAGAGGCCTAAGGATTAACCCCTTAAATCCCATTTAGACGCCACATTTCACTGTTGGCTCATATTTCTTTTTTCTAACTTTAAATTTTTGTTGGTGGTCATCCCATAAAGTTTAGTACTATACTCTGTACTCTCTGCAATGTTCGCAGACTTGCAGAGTTGGACTCCAGAGTCCAAGCAGTGCCATTTTGAAATAATACCATGATATACTAGTGTCTACATTATAACCCAAACTGATGCTTCTAGTCCAGGCTGTGATAGGCAGTTGGATGGATTGACCACTCATCAGCTGGTCCACCAGCATATATACTGAACAGGTACTTTGAATGGACAATTAGCTGGGCCAGAACTGAACAGAGCTGAACAGGAGGAGAAGTGAAGGCTGAATGGCCTTTGGAAACTTGCAGACTGCCTTTAAGGCCCCACCCACACTTCTCCCTGAAACAGAGGCCCATCTTGTTAGGGCCAGTTTTCTTTCATTTTAAAAACAGAGACTTTTATTGCTATCTTTTGTTTCCACATTGCCTAGATTTCTCACTATATCACTCCTTTTTCCTGCCAGAGAGTCACCCCATAAAAACAATTAAAAAAAGAAGCAAAAGATAAAAGAGGAAGAAAATAATCAGCAAAACTGATCAATATGTTGAAAAAAATCTGTTACATGTAAGGTTCACATGTATGGACCCCATTCGCTACAAAGTGTATGT